CATCTGGGAGGTAAACACAGAGTACATAAAAGGGAAAACATCATGTAGTGTTCCCAGTCTCTTGTCATTATTTAGAAATTTAACAAACTGCTGTAAACATCAGAAAAAAGAATCCCACAGAGAAGTTTATTTTGTCAGTGCCAGGATTTTCAGGAAATTACAGTATCTGTCATATGTGTAAATATCCAGGTGGGGCAGGCGGGAACAACCCAGTATGTGTCTGTGGAGGATGAAGAGCAGCTGACAGAAGCACCTGTAACAGCCCTGCATGACAATGGTAACAACAGGAACAGTAATAATCATAAACATCCAAAGTATTTTTCACAGGCAGCAGTAGGAAGTACTGCTTACAGCCATATAAAATATATGTATGTTATTGATGTGCTTCAGCATACGTGCTAATAATTGTATGTCTTTTGAATTCAGTTAATATCCAGCAGATTGCTGAACTTGGTTCAGAGACTCATGACGCTGTCACCTCTGTGGTCACCATGGCTCCAGGCGCTGTTACTGTCGTACAGCAGGTAAACAACCAGCCTTCACTCAAGAAATCACTAGTGGCTACAACAAAATGTTCATGTTCATTTGTGGCTGAATTTGCAGGTGTCTGATGAGCAGGAAGTCAGTGACTGCAGCAACCAGCTGATGGTGGTGAACACAGATGGGGATCTAACTGGTGACCAGGTGGTGGTGGTGGAGGACGCACAGGGCCTGGAAGCTCTGACGGTTCTTACTCAGGGCGAAAACGCTCAGCACTATATTGTCTATGTCCAGGAACATACTATAGAAATCAACTAGTAATGATAGCATTTGTTAGCCTGTTGCTTCATCAGTGCTGAGGGGATGGCCTGGGCTGACACTTTTTTAATGTAAAAAATTAAATGCTATAATTGTTTGTAAATTTCTGCACTACTTAATAAAGGTTTTGACATTGTATATAGTTGTTCAGTTTCAATTGGTTTTGTGACATTATTAAGTTCTATTTACTGGAAATTATAAAACAGAAAACCACAAACATGCTGCATACTACAAGCAAAACCAAGGAATTGCTTGACCGCAGTGAGAGTGGATGGGCCTTGGCATGCAATTACCACCCTAATATGACTACATGAAGCACATAATTTTAGCATCAAAGCTGACAAAAATAATAAAATTGTAATTGTAGGCATTTATTTGCCTTAATAGTAAAGTGTTTCTGCATTTTATTTATTTGTGTTTAACTGTTTGTTTCTTCATCTAATCAAGTTTTGAATGCATGTTCACTTGTTTGTCAAACAGGAGTTTCCAGTGCTTCTTGGTAGAACTAAACCACTGTGCTGGTGGAAACCTTGTACTAAGGAGGCATATTCAATTAACTTAGGCTGCCACATAGAGGCTTCTGTATATTCTGATGCTTCAATTAACTTCCTCTATTTAGGAGGACATGTAAAAATATATTGTATCTAGCAGCAGTGAGCTGTAAAATGTTTTTTCCCACAATCTTTATTGTTAATAATTGGTTATCAAAACAAGCTGTCTGACATACAAGAACATTTTGAAGACAGTGAAGGTAGTTATATGAGGTAAATATTATTAGGAAGTACAAGTAGGGGTCTATTCTCTCTGTAACCTGCAACATAAAAATGAGCATGGTCTAATTTGTACCTCAATTTTTTTCTTTCTTTTTTTTTAAGTTTAGCAGCAAGTATTTAAATCACTTATTGATCATGCCATTATTTAAATTATGGAGAAGCTACTTGTCTAGGCCCATAAGATTTTCCAGGCAAATAAATGTAGGCCTCCCATGGGCCCACCACCTGCAGGAGGATCCATAAGGGTGACTGACAGGCAGCAGGCTGGGGTGGGCTTGCTTATAGCTCCCCAGCTTAGTCACCATGTGTTGGAGTTTACCCCGGTGAACGAGAGGGTTGCTTTCCTGCGCCTTC